ATTCAATTTTTAGACCGATCATTTCTTTGTGAGTGGGCAAACATTCAACATCAGCAGGGGATCAAATACTTATTTTCTTCACTGTACATAGCTGTGTGCTGCTGTGATTTTCATAGGAAGGGGGAAAGGTGCGCTGTAAGTGAACCTCAGACCAGTTCTGGACACAGTCATTAAGGGTTTCAGACAGTTTTTATTGCTGCGTCCCGTCACCATCCCAAGTTGTCCTGGTGAACATTGTCACAGCATCAGAAAGTGATGACACATCCAAAAGGATGCAGATGTCACCAGAACAGGAAAAAAAGGCTCAGCCCCGCATCCCCGCTCTCTCTCATCACAGAATTTGATTGACAGCAGCAGGAGCCATTGGCATCAATCTGCCTTGTAAGGAGAAAGAGAGCCGCTGCTCGCATGCACATTGCTGGATCGAGATCAGGCTCAGGTAAGTACAAAGGGTGGGTGGGGGAGTATTCTATGACACAGACATTTTTTTCCCTTAATCCATAGAATGAACTTAAAACGTTAGGCTTTAGAACCACGCTAAAGTATATTTCCACTTTTTTCAGTCAAATCGGAATACCATCTACTTTATATTGGTAACATGTTCTCATTCACAGAGCAGATTTAAAAATTGCTGCTTATCTTTTTATTTGCTTAAAATCTGACCTAGTTTTCCCCTTGTATGCAATGTAAAGGAGGAGGCTGGGGAGTTATGTTTACTGTTACTGTCTATACTGTGCTGGAGGATGTCATTATCAGTTGTAAACTAGATGTCCACACTGCCTGTCCTAACAAAGGGTTACAAATCATAAGGCTTGAATGTTAATACCCTTTCCCTCGCTTTGTCCCTCTAATGGCATTTTGAAATTGTTTAGAATAGCTTGCAAGGCCTCTGTATAAACCTACTTCAAAGAAACACTTAGAAAGGCAAGAATGTGTTTTTTTGTTTTTTTTTTTTTTTTTTTTTAGGTATTTATAGGTATGCTGTGTGAATGGGAGCTCATAACAAACGTGTAATGGAAATTTGACTGCAAAGGTGGAAGAACACTTTAAGAGCCATTTATCGCAGAGTCTTCCCATTTTTCCTTTGCACTTTACTAACAGATGAAATTTAGGCCGATGAGGTCTCCAGGGCTCGTGCTGCTAATCCACTCTCAGTGCAGTGCATGAAATGTTGTAAGTGGAGTGCAGAGCAGAGAGAGTAATCGCACAACCCCGGCAGAGCGTAACGAGTTCTGCTCTCTCCTCTTATCACTGGCGGCTGGTTCGTGATACCATCAGGTATTGTGAAGCACAACAGATGTTAAAGTCAGTCCGACACCAGCTACATCAGTCACAGGGGAGCGTGGCAGATCCAATTCTGGATAAATTCCCAATTTGTCTTCCTAACAAGGTGATGGTATCGGGGATTTTGCAGTAGGAGAAGAGCAGGGAGCAGATTAGAGATTTGTTTGTGCCGTCACAGCCAGACTGCAGCCTGCAATCACCCAGCTAGTTTTTAAGTTTCTAAAGTCAAGCTCTTTTTGTAAAGTGTTGTGCGGCGATAACCAACGCTTTCAATGGGCGGAACGTGCTGGACAGTCTGTGCGCAAACCAGCGCTGATCATTCTCTTATCTATGGAGAAACGGGCATGCACTGCCGATAATACATCACATCCACCCCACAGCTAGCTAAGGCCTCAAGGACACTGATGCTCCTAGGGAGCTTTCGGCCTTCTTTTGCCAAAGCCCCTGAACTCAACTCAATAAAATGAAACAAAAAGCGCACCAACCTTGCGCATTACCTCAGTAAAATGTGATTTTATTAAATAGAGAATAATACAAACAAAGAAGTATAACAAGCGTATAAGGTCCTCAACAGAACTTAGGAGTATAGAACCAGTGCGAGTCACATCACGAGGGTAGACTCTCAAAGTAAGGCTGATGCGTTTCGAAGGGGGTCCCTTCTTCATCAGAGCTCTGAGGTACTGAGGTAATGCTCAAGGTTGGTGCGCTTTCTTTTTGTTTCACTTCACAGTACTGGTCGGGCTTCTCCAGTCTTGTTTGGAGCCGCACAACCTATGCATTGATGGTCGAATTTTCTCAAGTTCCTTTTCCATCCTTCCACCCTTGCTCTGAGTTGTGGAGTGCAGGAGATGTTGTTTCTGTTTCAACTCAATAAAAGCCTACGTATCCATGCATACATAGGCTTGTATCAGTTTAGCAGCAGAGTTAAGGGGCAGTTAAATGTCCCTCTCATGAACACAGAGGAATAGCGTTCAGCAAAAAACGCCAAACGTGGCAAAAACACACCGCTTGGGTGTTTATTCATTTTAATGACAAGTACTCTGGTCAATTAAATGAATAAACATCCAAGCAGTTAAACACAGATAAGTGCAGTGCAGGAGCGGACTGACCATTTGGAAACTCGGACACTGCCCGAGGGCCCGGGGTCAGTAGGGGGCCCCATGAGATGCCCCTGGTACCTTTTTCATAGGCTTTTTTGAGTTTGGGCAAGGACACAGGGGCTCCATGATCCCCTATTTCCCAGGGCCCCATGAGCTGTCAGTCCACCCCTGGTGCAGTGCCACATTTACACACGTTTTTTGCACGTTTATCCTATTTCTGCTGCCAGTAGAGGAAAAGTCCAAGACATTTCCAGTGTGCATGTAGCCTAAGTCCTTGGATTCTGGTGCTCATCTGATGTGACATAGGACAGTTGGAATTTCACTGCCGGTCACACTTGGTAGGACATCTGACCATCTATGACCAACCTTGGTTTCTACAAGTACAGTAGGATGTGATCTCCACATCTGTAATCTATTTGCAGCAAGGAGAGCCCTGTGTCTAATCCTGACCATACCTAACAAATCTTCCACTCAGAATGAACAAGGAAACCTTCCCAGCCAAACACCCAGGATTCTTTGTATGTGCACCTATTCAGCTTCATACACAAGGCTGTACAGGGTTTCGTGCAGCAGGCAGAGCCTGTGTAAAGATGTTCTCTGGCCCTCTGCAGCCATGTCCAGCCACCTGTTGAGATACAGTACATGAGGGTTGTGTAAAGCACACATGTACACTCTCACCTATGCCTTGAACACAGATAGTGTGCATTCAGAGCATAATTAGTACACATGATGGGTCCTTTATGCAAACCGCAATGCACATCCATGTACAGCCACAGCATCTCAATGGGCAGCTGCTTTTTTCACCTTTTTCATCCTTTGTGACATCTCAGTGCTGCTGATTTCCTGATGTTTCTTTGCAGCCACTTCCTGTCTACATGCACTCCAATAACTGTGTGGCATTTCCCAGGGCAGGTTTCTTGATGGTGCCAACATTGGCCATGGCCTATGTAATGTGTGTTGAAATGGCCACTTGTAGTCTTCATCTGCCAGTGTGCCAGGGTAGCAATGCAGGAGCATAACTAGGAGATATGGACAGAAAAATGCCTAAACTAGGACCTTCATAGCAGGATCTCATGATATTTCTTCAATAAAAGCAGCAGATTTCCATGTTCCATCCTAAATACAGGTGGGAACATGTAACATGTTCCAAAAGGTGAACTTATACATTTAAACAAAAGCTCTTTCTTTTTAACTTGATACCAAAGTGTGTCCTGTGTGCCTGCAGTCCTCTGCATTTGGGTGTTTGGGTTAGCTGGGGAGGCTTTGATCCTGCTACAAAATACACACTACCTAGCCCACTCTTCACCTTCCATAGTCTCAAGCTGGATCCACGTAGACAAGGTGAGATAGGTGGGAAGTGGTGCCATAAGCAAAAGAGTGCAGTGAAGAAAGAGACTACAAGGGAAATAAGAGTGGGCCTGCACCCATATGGGGTCTTCTTGGTAGAAGAGCCAACGTCATGCATTCCATGTCTACTAGAGGTTTGCATTGTTGACGTTAGTCATATTTGTGTCATGGTGATTTGGGGGCACAGTTTACACAACCTGCTCCTTTTCCATCCTGATCTCCCTATCATTGGTATAATCCTCAGTATGGAACCTCCTTTAGGATGTGTGTAGGATTCCATCGGCATTTAGAGTACTGGGAAGCTCAGACACGCATAGTCTCACCTCTTGATCTGGCCCAACTCTAATCAAATCCTGACAATTCTAGAATGATATCACTGATGTAACATAAAGTGAGCTGGGAGAATGTGAATTTCCTGCAAAGTAGTACTAAATGAAAAGACTTTTAGTACATTGACGTCTATGGCTTATTTACTCTATATATTGTTTTTTGCGGAGTTGTTGCAATGGCCAAGGGGATTTTAACTGTTAGCCTATGTATAAAAGCTTTTACTTCCCCATCTGCTTTGTAAACACATTTCATTTGTTATTGTTCCTCTGAGCATTCCCCTTTGTCTCACTTTGCACACCGAATGAGCACAAGTGCAGGCAGTGGATGTGGCCCACCAGCTAAAGGGGCTGAATTAATTTAAGAAGAGTTCCTGCCTCCAATGGATGCACCCAATGTTTGTATTTATGGAGATGCATCCTATTAACTGACATGCATGTGTATGTATGTGAGCTTGTCAGCATTCCACATGAAGATGCCAGTACAAAAGACATTTCAAAGGGGGATTTTCCATGTTGGAGGACATACAAATGGAGAGATTATGAACATTGATGGAGTGGAGTAAAGTGAATAGGTAAATCTGAATAAACAGAACTACAAATCCTTTGGAAGTGAAAAAAAACCTCCCTATGTGTATTAATCTGTTTATTTAGGGCTTTCCTGGAGCTTAGCTGTAAAGATAATCCTCTGAAGTGGTATCCTTAGACCACTCTTGGTGTAGCCGTTACCTGTCATAGCTAAGCCTGCTAGCTAGCACTGAAGGCTGCCATTGATTCTCAGAATCTCTCTCTGACATGAACTCCTGTTGAAGAACTGTCCAGTATAATCCAGGCCCAGTAGAGGTATTTGCAGTCTGCAGAGATTTATGCCTTGTAGTTGGTTGTGGAGCTTCCACCCTACTCAGCAATTCTAATTGTACTCCTTTTCTTTATGTCTGCACAGTTCACTGGTGAGGTTCCAGAAAATCGAATCGAAGTTGTTGTGGCCAACCTGACTGTGGTAGATCGAGATCAGCCATATACACCCAACTGGAACGCCATATACAAAATCATTAGTGGTGATCCTGCTGGCCACTTTACTGTCAAAACTGATCCCATCACCAATGAGGGCATCGTCACTGTGGTGAAGGTAGGTTGACATGATGGTATTATAATCAGCAGTGTGGGGTGTACACATAATACCCTAGTGAGGGTGATGACCATGTAAGGCTCAACAGTCCACAAATGACAGGGAGAATGGTCACATCTAGCAGGTTCTCATTAAAGTTCATATACAATGGGCCTGTCTGCACATTATTATGCATTGTCTCTCAGGACAGAAACTGAAGAGTAACTCCCAGGTAGGTACATACACAGCACTGAAAACCTGACAGAGGTCAGAAGTCTCTTTCACTCAATCCAAAACAAAGAAAAACTTTTCGCTGGAAGTTCCATTAACAGTGCAACCAACAGTAAAAATGAAGATGGGATTGCTGGGTCTGGAAGAGCTTGTGTTAGAGTGAAATGTTCCTGAATGCGATGCAGCAAGGCAAGCCATTACAGATAGGTCACATATCCTTCAGTGAATGTGTTTATCCATATTTCCAAAACCGCAACTTTATATATTATCATTTAGCTTGTCTAACCATAACTGAATGATAGTGAGCCAAATAAAATTTGCAGTGCCACTCTAAAGCCTCGTACACACTGTAAGTTTTTTTTTTTCGTTCAGCCCTCAAAAAAACTGACAGATCGCTGTACTAACACAAGCGGTGTTGGTACAGCGATCTCCCTTGCTGTACTTGCTGGGGACTGGCCCTCTACCAGAACACGGCTGGTTTCTGTTGAGTGAGCCGATGATGCCTGATATTCGGCCTATGTGTATGGGTCTTAAGCTGAGACAGAGGTCCCCTTCTGGTTGCAGTGAATGGAGCTGGCATCAGTGCTCCACTCAAAGGTGTAAGAGCATTATCGAAGAGAAGAAAAGGCGCCGCTCACCAATGCAGGGTATTAGTATGTGGATGAATGTGGCCTCAGCCAGCGTCGCTCTAGCCACACCCCCTGACAAGTTTTGCCCCACCCATGACCATGCCCCCCCATCCCGATGGGTGGGGAAAACTTGACAGGGGTGTGGCTGAGGCCACATTTATCCACATAGTAATGCACTGGGTTGGTGAGCTGCACCTTTTCTTCTCTTTCATAACTGAATAATGTTTAATTTGCAAAAGCAATGTGTATAATAAACAATTACCATTATTTTAGTTTTTAGAAATAAGTTTTCACTTTTTTTTTTCATGTTTTGTTGCATCTCAGTGCTGCCGACTTTCTGCAGATTCTTTGCAGCTGCTCCCTGTATACATTCATTTCAGTGAAGGTTGCCCAGGACTTCTCAGATTGTTTCCTGATGGTGACAACAGTGGATAGTGTCTGCGTAACGTGTGTTGAAATGGCCATTTGTAGTCGCCATTGGAAGCCCGTATGACAGGATATCAATGCAGAAGTACAACTGGTAGACAAGGACAGGCTATGGTCACACTGTAGCAGGAAATGCTTGAACAGGGACCTTCATGGCAGGATCAACAGGAATCATTTTTTTTTTAATGCTGCAGATTTTTAAAAGATTGAAAATTATGTTTCTACTCAGTAATTTGTATTGTTTTCAGAGGTTTGCACACAACAATCCAGAACATGTACATAGTGCATTAACAAGGCACAAAGACCAGTAACAGCACATTGTAAAGGTAGCTGCTGTGGATAGTGCTAGATAAGTAGATTTTTGAAATGAGATTTTACTGATTGAGTCCATATCTACCATAATCAAACAGATCAAACCTGAATATAATCATCATAAATCATAACACACTAGTATTTGTTTATGGTGAACACTGAATAATTAATCAGGATAATAATATAATACTAGAGTCAGGGGCAGACTGACAACTCATGGGGCCCCCGGGCAATAGGGGATCATGGGGTCCCTGTGTCCTTGCCCAAACTCAAAAAAGCCTATGAAAAAGGTACCAGGGGCATCTCATGGGGCCCCCTACTGACCCAGGGCCCTCGGGCAGTGCCCGAGTTTCCAAATGGTCAGTCCGCTCCTGACTAGAGTATATTCAGTATACTATGTATAATGCACATAATAATCACTACTTGTAGAATGTATGAACTGTCAGCTGTAGTTACATAGTTAAAATAAATAGAAAACCTCCATATCTGCAATCTGATACCCACAGCTGATCCAGAAGAAGACAAAAGAAAAACAATAGCACATGATCCAATTTGCTCCAGCAGGGAAATTTTTCTTCCTGATCCCTCAAAAGGCAAACAGATACTCCCCGGATCAATGATCCCCGGTGTTATCACACATAAATGTTATTATCCAGTTATATTTTGCACCTTTAGGAATGCCCTAGACATCACCATGAGTCTGGGTGTTTTTGACCATTTGTTTATTAATTATTATTACATCCCTTCCCTTTTCAGCCAGTGGACTATGAGATGAACAAAGCCTTTTTACTAAACATCATGGTGACAAATCAAGCACCTCTGGCCAGCGGGATCCAGATGTCCCTACAATCCACATCTGCGGTGACCATCTCCATAGTGGATGTAAATGAAGCCCCTTACTTTCCCAACCGAAATTGACCCAGTCAGACAACTGGAGGGAGAGCCGGCTGGGAAAATGCTGACCACCTTTTCTGCAGTGGATCCGGACCGTTCTTTGCAGCAAGCTCTACGGTATGATACATAACACTTTACCGCGGTGCCCATCATCCACGTATTTAAAGATCTGATATATATATTTCAGATATAATAGCCGTATTAGTGTGTCTGCATTAAACTCTTGCTGTTAAGTTAACATTTATAATTGTCTATGAACATAAGGGCAGCGTACTTAAATACTCTTGTCTGATAACTGATTAAGAACAGTAGACTCTGCATTAATGACCTAGTCTGGAGCTCGAGAATGTGCGCCTTGTTGACTCATTTGAAGTGATAGGTCCACTTGGGGCCAAGAAAAAGAACCCCAAGAATCCAGATGGACTGAAGAGAAGAACAAATATTTTGGTAGGTAGAATAGTTGAAACATGTATTTTAGACTGTGACTTTACTGCCTGACTTTAGTTCAGCTCACAGTTCTAGCCTTACAATGGTAATGTGCAAAAAAAGGAGTGGACTTCAGCCCAACCCATCGGTTCAAAACCGATTGATAAAAAAAACTAAATTTATAGTAAAAAGGGCAGACGCTACATAACAAGTTAGATTTAAAGGATGTGTTACCTACAAATTGCCCTGGGATAATTGTATCTTTATCAATACAATGAACCTAACCTTGGTAGGTAGGAAATGATCCTTCATCTCCGAGGGCTCAAAACATTTAGTGTCTAAGATTTACATTTTCAGCAGATATTATATTTCCCCCATTTAAAGGCCTACCCTAGACATTCCAATAAAAGCAAGTAATCAGCTTGAGCATCACTTTTAGATACCTGGCAGTAGGCATTTCTGATCAGAAGTGATCATTATCGCATGAAAATCTCTTCAAGAATAATAGTCGAAAATTTTCTTTTCAGTGGGGGAAGAAAAAGTAAGCTTTTGCAAGGCAAGCACCAAGCATTAGGATTCCAGGGAGTCTTGGCAGTGTTCCAGCCTTTTAAAGATGAGAAGACGTCTGACTACTCTGCATTCTTGGCAGGAAATAGCAAAGAAATAGGCGGGGCTTTCTACTGACTCAAGATCTTCACCTGATGTAGCCAAAATTATCCTGATTGGGCGAATGTCATCTTATTCTCCAACTAGGATTACCAAGATATATTGGTCCTCCTCAGCTTCTTTCAGTAACATAATTATCAGGGGGATTCAAGTCAAACCGGGACTTTTGATCTTACAGGTATAAAAAGGATGCTAGCATGGTGGTACTGACGGTAAGTGGCAAGTGTGTCCTATTACTGCTAGGCGGCGCACATGTCACCAGCCTGTCCAGAAACCGTTAATCAAAATGGCAGACAACAGCGTAGTGCGTACATGGAACAGCGTGCAGTGATGAAGTTTTTTGTGAATGAAGGTGTAAAACTCATGGATATCTTCAGAAGACTTCAAGCACAGTACGGTGATGAGACGCTCAGCTGCAGTAAGACATTTGAATGGTGTAAACATTTCAAAGATGGCCATATGTCCGTCAGTGACAATCCTGGCCGTGATGATTCCCAGCTCACAGCAGTCATTCCTGTGAACTCCAGCACATGGAATGCCTGATCCTGGATAATTGATGCATAACCTGTCATGAAATTGCACAAGAGACAAATTTTTCTATGGGAACAGTGAACACTATGAGGAAGTGAAGCCAGCTGTCCTAGGATGGTTCAAGCGTGCTGACAAATCTTTATAAGCCAAACCTTTCCAGGCATTAGTTAAACACTGGGATAAGTGTATTAAATGTAGTAGGGGAGTATGTCGAAAAATAAATGCAGTTTTCGCTCCTTGAAATTTAATATTTTATTATATAAACTCAAATGTCCCGGTTTGACTTGAACGCCCCTTGTATCAGTTATCCTGAAGGAGTTGAGATATCAGCTGCTATATAACATTAGCTAGTGGGTGGAATCACTGACAAGGCCACTAGTGTTTCTAGGGGAAATGCCCTTTTGTTAGGGTGGCTACTGCTCTGTTTAACAAACCCCTTTGCTGGAAGAATCCTGTGTTGTCCATGGCAGTCAGTCAGATTTGTCCTTTCGCTCCCATACTTGGTAATGTTGCTTGTTTAGTATTTTACAGTAGTAATTTACACCCATCACACATGGAAAAATCTGTCTGTGAGAATCATGGCCAATGGCAGTTGGGCCCATGTTCATCCAAATTTCTCCAACCTACCAAACCCTGAAAATCAAAATTGTCACAAGTGATGTTCAAGTCAAATGAATTGCTTACAATACTCCATTGCAATAGCCTAATTCTTAGGGACACATCAATCTGATATCAGCATGGCCATCTACTCTCAGATCTACACACCGTCCACAAAGTCTTTAATGCTACAACTTAACCTGAGCAATTCCAGAAAGGTCACAGGCCAACCGCTCAGCACACGTTATTAAATCTATTAGCGGATATTGTCCCAGCGCCGCATTGCTCTAATGACATCCTCTGGGTCTTCAAAGTGATGACCTTTCTGTCAGAATGATATGTCCGAGCAGCTTGTGAGACCTATGTTACTGATTCCCGGAACATTGTTAAATTGTGTCAGGGAGAGATGTGGTCAACTTAAGGATCCCCCAGTTGTTCTGGTGTAATATGGCCTCCAAGGAGAGAAAGGTGAAAAAAGGGGTCACCTACAGGAAGATTGGGACGCTATATTGATTCCGTCTTAGGATTTTTCCGTACTTTAGCTTTTCATTTTTTTCATTATGACAAAGAAAAAGGATAGTGTCCAACTGGTGCGAGCCCAATTACCCACACTTCACTCGTGACATTTTTACAATCATTATGCGGCTCGGGTCCTTCACTTGGGGGCCTGGCCGGCTGACAGAGATGATGATTATATTGACTCATAGAGGCTCCGCTTACTGTCCATTCCGTATATATAATGATACTTTTACAAAAACGTTCTCAGTTAACGAGCAAGTTTCTTGGTATTTGTTCCAGGTCCTAGCTCTAAAACTGTCACAAGGTGTTTTGCTCTCCCTGTGGCCATTATTTTTAAGGTTGGAGACCTGTGCCTCCTTCCTTTTTTTTATCTCTTATTGTTTGCTGTAGGAAAGACTGATGGCTGGGAGGTTATTTAAGTTTGGTGTTAAAATCCATTCCTTGCAGCAGTTAAGTGTACCTGTCATGCTTTTAAAATAAAGGTAGCTCTTAAAAGTCAGACACCTCAGAGAGCCTCCTCTAGCATACACATTTCAAAGTGTCAAAGGATACTTTCTACATGTTCAGGTCCCAGCACTGCTTCTCTAAAACAGCCAGTGCAATTTAAATATTTCCTAAATGTGCCACCATTTAAGCACTGCAAAGTGCCTCCTCTTTCCGAGGATGACAAGTCCCCTGTAAAGTGTTGTGCAAAATTTCACTCTGCCACAACATACAAAACGGGCAAATCAATAGACGTCCTGCCAGTAGGAATTCCAGATCATGCGTCTCTTTCTTAGTGAGCTGAACTGCTATTTAGCTTCTCTATTTACTAAGAACTGGTGATCCCACTGTACTACAAATTACTCTACCATTAGTTTCCAGTATTCTGATCAAGGCCGACTAATGGTCAAGCGCTCAAAAATTTTCCCCAATGTATAAAAGCAGCAGCTAATCTCCACAATCTTCGGTACCCAACTCTTACATCCTTAGACATGCCTGTTGTACATGAACCCCCTATACATCATAATTCAATGTTTTTGTTTTAATGGGGGGGGTATTCTGACCTTTTTTTGACTTTACTTGCTGCAGGCTTTGTTCAGTATGGCTAAGTAAAGGCAAAACCTAACTCTAAACCTGCTCTCAGCTACATTATTAGCCTTATCCCTGTAAAGAAGAAATCGCTATACTTACCTGTTCTGTAGTCACTGCAGTCCGCTCTGAGTTTCAGAGTGAAGGAGCGTGCAGGAGAGGCAGCCGACAAAGGAAGCCCCATAGTAAGTCTACGGGTGACGTCACTTCCCAGGCATCTCCCAGCTGTTTTTGGCTGTCTCCTGCACACAGAGGGCGCCGCCGGAGACTGGACCGGAGTGGCTGCAGAACAGGTAACTATAGCGATTTTTTTCCTTACAGGACTAGATAGGTTAGGCTTCTAATTTAGAGTAGGTTTAGCGTTAGTTAGGTTTTGCCTTTACTTCCACTTTTAGAACATTCTAAGTTACTGAACAAAGCCTGCAGCAAGTAAAGTCAATGTTTTGCTTTACCTCTACTGTAAGTATTGCAGTTAAAGTAGAACTATGGGAAAAAAATGTTTTTTTCATTTTGGATAGAGTAAGGGAGGGTTATAACCCAATCAGTTTTATTTTTTTTGCCATCTGTGTCCCATTGGGGAGATTTCCCTTCACATCCTATCCCATAGCCCAACAGGAAGTGAGAGGAAATCCCTGCAAATTAAGGGCATCCCTTGGGGTTCCCAAGTTAACCAGAACTAGTGTCCCCATTGGAAAATTTCCCCTCTATTACTTTTCTGGGGACAACACAAAATTTAGGATTTTCTTTTACTTTCATTTTCAATGATAATGGTAAACAAGACAAATAGAGAGGGTGAATCACCCTAACAGGGGCACAGACGGCAATAACAGCCTGATAGAGTAAGGGAGGGTTATAACCCAATCAGTTTATTTTTTTGCCATCTGTGTCCCATTGGGGAGATTTCCCTTCACATCCTATCCCACAGCCCAACAGGAAGTGAGAGGAAATCCCTGCAGATTAAGGGAATCCCTTGGGGTTCCAAAGTTAAGCAGAACTAGTGTCCCCATTGGAAAATTTCCCCTCTATTACTTTTCTGGGGACAACACAAAATTTGGGATTTTCTTTTACCTTCACTTTCAATGATAATGGTAAACAAGACAAATAGAAAGGGTGAATCAACCTAACGGGGGCACAGACGGCAATAACAGTCTGATAGATGTTCTAATCCCTTTCTACTGTGGTCAAAACTAAAAAAAAAAAAAAAAAGTTTTGCC